TCTTAAATTTTATAATCTCACAGAGACTCTCCATGTAAGTTTGACATTCACATGTTAATTCTTACCTCTCAATTCTGAATTCAACAATGTATCGTTGAGAATATCAAATATCTCCTTTATTGGCAGTTCACGGTGATAATGTAGTGTTCAAAAAGTATTAAACAATGTCCACTGTATGTATTGGCGACAGGAGCAAAACTTTGATTGTAACTGGAAAAATGTTGCAACAGTTCGATGATTTCCTTAAAAAAATCCTCCTTGGCGCCGGTTATCTCCCACTCCGCTTAAAAGTCTCTGAACTGAGAGGAAACCGTACGGGGGTGAAGAAGGTATCTGGAATTAATGAAATTAACCTTCAAAATGTAGAATTGGAACAAAGAATCAAACATACAAGGAGGGGTATATTTTTTCAGGAGAAGATAGATATTGGAAAATGAAAAGAGAAAAAAAAAGAAAAGAAAAAACCNGAAAAAACGAAATAAATATAATGAATCAAATCAATAGAACGATGATGATATAAATTGAAGATTTCAAGACGAACTATATATCTTCTCAGAGTCTTTAACTTCTTCAATTCCAAATCTGTGGAATCCTTTTTTTCAAAACTATGTCATTAACCGTTTTAGCATTAACAAGAGATCATAAAAGCCGAAGATTATTTTCAGAAATATTAGAAATCTGGTCTAATGTTTGACGGTAGAAAAAAGAAATCATTATATTTGATCTTAGTTGGTAGAAAAAACATCGTGAAAACACCGTTCCGTTGATTTGGCTAAAACTTTGCTCAACTAAATTCACAGTTTTTGAAATAATTTTCTCATAAATCAAAGATAGGGAAATATAGGAGAATATCTGGGAAAATCTAAAACTGAAGTCCACCTGAGCGATGTCTGATAATATATTGTCTGATATAACAGACATAACATTTTTATCTATATTCCAGATCAGAGAACTGTACCTAAAGGCAAAAATATTTCTGATTTTATAGCCCAAAATATAGAATATACATTTTTTTCGACTTTCTATGATTCTTACCTGTAAAGCAGTTACGTACATCTGTGTTTTGCTCATGAGAATCTAACCGCAACCGAATAATATACACTCGCTTGCCTTGTTTGCGTTTTAGAAGTTTGAAAATCTCAACTATTTTTGAAACGTTTCCATTAATCCAGTTATCAATGTGCAGTATAATTTTTGTAAAGCTTCTGCATCATGCAATACGGTAATTAGATCTTGAGATACTTGGGACAAATTGATTTGTAGTACCTGAAAATAAAAATAAAAATTTCATATTGATACTATACTATAAAAAAAATTAAAAAAAAGTTGCTAAAGGGGATGAGAATTTGGCAAAATCACCTACCCATCTGGCGGTAATCGAATGGTACATCTGTGTTCTGCTCATGAGAATCTAACCGCAACCGTATAATATACACTCGCTTGCCTTGCTTGCGTTTTAGAAGTTTGAAAATCTCAACTATTTCTGAAACGTTTCCATTATTCCAGTTATCCATGTGCAGTATAATTTTTTGTAAAGCTTCTGCAGTATGCAATACAGTGATTAGATCTTCAGATACTTGAGACAAATTGATTTGTAGTACCTGAAAATAAAAATTTCATATCAATACAACACTATAAAAAAAAAAGATGTTGAATGGGATGAGAATTTGGCAAAAACACCTACTCGTCCGGCGGTAATCGAATGGTACATCTGTGTTCTGCTCTTGAGAATCTAACCGCAACCGAATAATATACACTCGCTTGCCTTGTTTGCGTTTCAGAAGTTTGAAAACCTCAACTATTTCTGAAACGTTTCCATTAATCCAGTTATCCATGTGTAGTATAATTTTTTGTAAAGCTTCTGCATCATGCAATACGGTAATTAGATCTTTAGATACTTGAAACAAATTGATTTGTGGTACCTGAAAATAAAAATAAAACTTCCATAATAATACGATACTATAAAAAAATTCAAAAAAAAGTTCTCAAATGGAATGAGAATTTGGCAAAAAACACCTACTCATGTGTCGGTAATTGAATGGTACATCTGTGTTCTGCGTATGAAAATCTAGACGCAACCCGAATAATATACACTCGCTTGCCTTGTTTGCGTTTTAGAAGTTTGAAAATATCAACTATTTCTGAAACGTTTTTATCAATCCAGCTATCCATGTGCAGTATAATTTTTTGTAAAGCTTCTGCATCATGCAATACGGTAATTAGATCTCTAGGTACTTGGGACAAATTGATTTGTAGTGCCTGAAAATAAAAATAAAAATCACATATTGATACGATACAATAAAAAAATTTGTTAAATGAAATGAGAATTTGGCAAAAACACCTACTCATCTGGCGGTAATCCAATGGTACATCTGTGTTCTGCTCATGAGAATCTAACCGCAACCGAATAATATACACTCGCTTGCCTTGTTTGCGTTATAGAAGTTTGAAAATCTCAACTATTTCCGAAACGTTTCTATTATTCCAGTTATCCATGTGCAGTATAATTTTTCGTGAAGCTTCTGCATCATGCAATACGGTAATTAGATCTTTAGATACTTGGGACAAATTGATTTGTGGTACCTGAAAATAAAAATAAAATTTCATAATAATACGAAACAATAAAAAAATTTGTTAAATGGAATGAGAATTTGGCAAAAACACGTACCCATCTGGCGGTAATCGAATGATACATCTGTGTTCTGCTCATGAGAATCTAACCGCAACCGAATAATATATACTCGCTTGCCTTGTTTGCGTTTTAGAAGTTTGAAAATCTCAACTATTTCTGAAACGTTTCCATTATGTAAGATACATTCCGCAAACATCGTGTTCCTATATGGGTATCATAATTTTATGTATCCACCAGTCATTTGTTACTATACTATGTTACTAAAAACAAAACATAAAAGAGGTTTTGAGCTATTGATTTTGATAAAACTCGTTTCTCAATATTATACAATATGTTCAAAAATCATTGTCACTTTTTCATCATTTCGGACACTTTGTAGCCTTTTTCCAAAGCTTTCAAATCTTCTTTTATCACCCAAGTACCAGAGAGGGCTCGTTCTTCTTCACAAATGTGAGTACATTCGACATCCATATGTTCACAACACGAGCGACAAAGAGGAAACATCAATTAACCATTCATTTTAACTGGTAATACGGGGTGATATAGATTTTGAGGAGGAAGAACTTTACATTTTATAATACCATCAACGTAATTCAAATTCAAAGTATTACATTCTTCCCCAACAAAAACTTCCGGGTGTTCGACAGGGTACTTTCCGTATTTATTAATGAAAGGATATAAGCTGCACACATAGACGTACTTGATTCTTTCACCTTCTTCACATTTGTAATATAGTTTCATAGCGTCAGTTCGACCACCATAGAAAGCATCACGGGTATTGAAAGGTAATTGAACGAGAACGGGGTATTTTTCGCTGAAAATACGCAATTCTGGATTTTCCAAAAGCTCTTTTCGGAAAGAAAACTTCCATTTTTCTATGACTTCGTAGCCCAGCTGATGCAAACGTGCAGTTTTAGCCAGGGTTGCCTCAAAACGCATTTCTATTGTAATGGTCTTCGAACGTGTGGTCATTGCGTTCGTATTTGATACATTCAGGACATCCGTGGAAATAACAACCATGAAACTCGATAATTTGTTTTGTCGCATTACAAAAACCATCCACTTTCATATTGGATATGGATGCTTCAGGCCCTCGCCCAGCATGTTGAATCTTAATACCGCTTTGTCTTTCATCCCACAACAGCCATTGAACGGCTATTTTCGACTGATTGTCACACCATCTATATCCATTTTTAGGTATGAGGCCTACGGCGTCGGGTTTCAAAAAGTTTCTTTTGAATATTTTGTTGCATGTCCCCGGTAATGGGTCCACACCGCCTCCTTGTATCATTAGTTCTCTGAATTTGAGAGATGCTCGAAACAATATGTCTACATCACTTTTACAATATTCCACCAGTTATTTCTGAAAGTCAAAGACATAGCCCTCTTCAGATAATTGTTTGTACCATTCAAGAAGTTATTTTTTAGACTCCTTGTCTTCTTCGAGACTGGTTGTATACTTGATTGATTCCGGGTCACAATATTCTAGAGCAGGTAATGGTACAACATAAATCCAGTTTTCAGCATTATTGAAAAAATATGGGAAGTAACCTTTATGTACACCATCCAACCCAAAAGCCTTGGGTAATTTAGCTAAAGGCATCGGGAAATAATTGAGCGAGTCGATAAATTTTACATTTTCCACAGACATCAACAATAGTTTCGTTCCCTGGGTTATGAGTTCTGGTTTCAGATTTGTTGATGTCAATATATAATTCAACATGAATTGGTTGTCGTGTAAACCTCCAGCATGGCCAACAACGATGATTTGTTTGAATTGTACGCGTTGATTCATTACATACTGCATGAACCGGTCCACAGGTTGTATCTTCAAAACTTGTTGTCTGACACCACAACAGCATACTTTTATGTCTGTCCCCAGACAGTTTTCACAGTTTTGTTGATATACACACAGATTGGGTTTAAGGCTTAAAGATCCATCTGATAATATTTCTTCTTGAGTACATTCCAGGTCATAAAATATGAAAAGTACCCTTGACATTGATGGTTTGCCATTATCTACAGATATGAAGCATTTGTGTGGAGTAGCTTTGAATTCTTTGCACAATTTACAAAAAATTTCCCCGGGCATTTTCCACAACACCTCATCTGCTCACATACCTTGGCAATTATATGTTTGTCAAAACCTCTATTACATACTGTACATAATATTTTCTTTTCGTTGGAACATGATGGCGACTGCTGGCACGCTGGACAAGTTTTATCACACTTGTGTTTCTCATTATGTTCACAGGGGATGTGACATGTTTCACACTAATATTCACAACAAAATGCAGCAGTCAGCGACACTATCACATTGTAGTGTTTATTGTGATGTAAAAGGTTGATTTTTTTGGCACCACCAACTCCCTCGTAAATAACAACTCGACCTTCATTTTCGTATTCATATACTGTGATTGTGTAATCAGACAAATACTCTTGGAATTTTTTGAGCTCGCTTATGCTGCCACCCTCTTTAGGTATTTCCATTCCACTCTTCTCCAACAAATCTAGGGTATGACGTGTTTGCACATTTATGACTTCTCGGATTTTTTGCTTATCTGTAGCTTTGTCAACATAGGCTTTAGCGACCACCAACGCTCTAGCAAGGCAAAGATGATCGTTATTTTTAAACAATATAATCTCCTCACATTTGGCACATTCTTCGTTGTATGTATTATATTTTATGACACGACCTTGACCTTTGGGCATTTTTACAGTAGTAGCCCCAAGACAAAATGTCTCAGTGTCTAGTTCGACTGGTAAACAGAACAAATCATATTCCATATGTCCTCAAATGATACTTTGGGAAACGGGTCTAAATTGTAACCATCTTTCGCCTCGGCTAAACTCTTTCGAACAAAACGTAAAACCGACTTGGTCCGTAACTTCTTTCTGCATCTTGTGTTACTTCTTGTACAATATCTTTTATGGTGTTTTTCGTCCAAACAAGAGGGTCTAAGCCCTTGGGAGCAGGTTTGAGTTTGAGCTCTAAAGTTCTATCCGTCAAATTGAATTTACGAATTTTCATCGCTTTATCTTTCACAATTAAAAATTTCTCCATAACTTTTTTTTTGGAAATTTGAGAAATTCAAAATTCTACCCGAAATGTGAACTCATCAGACGATACTGCAAAAGCACAGTGAAATCATCTCTGGTGCGCTCTTATTTTTAAAGCAATGAAATGTGGGCGTGGTTACACGACTTGGTCGTACGACGACTCAGGCAAAGTGGCTTTGAGAGGCTCCACTAGTGCCGACGTCACAGGTGACCACCACCACCCAACTCGATGCGCTGGCGAGCAGCAGTGGTTGTTGGAACATCACAGAGTGCAGACCTGTGCACTCTCTTTAACGAGAGGTTACCGCCCAACATGATGAGGAAAGACCGCTCATGGTGTATCTTAGTATGCGTAGTATGCAGGCGTATATTTACTCTGTACAAACTCGTACAGTGTATACATGAAGGAAGGTGTCAAAACTAAAATGAATATGAAACAAATGAAAAACGGCTTTTTTCCATAAAATAATAATCTATTGCAAAGGAATATGCATCTGTTGTTAGAATAAAGGGTTCTTCAAAGTTTGGGTATATTAGAATTGGAGTTGACGTTAATGCTTTTTTCAATTCTTGCAATGCAAGTTTACATTCATTGCCAAATTAAATTTCACATCTTTTTGTAATGAGTGTGTCATTAGTTTAGATATTTTAGAAAAATTTGGGATAAATTTTCGGTAATAGCCTGCTAAACCTAAAATTGTTTTATTTCTTTAACGTTTATAGGCTCTGGAAAGTTTATTATGTAATTAACTTTTTCTGGGTTTGGTTTCACTCCATCTTTGGTTATAAGGTGTCCTAAATATGCAGTTTCCTGTCTTCAAAATTCGCATTCATCAGGTTGTATTTTTAAATTAGCTTTTCGTAAACGTTTGAATACTAATTTTTAATTTTGCAAGTGCTCGTCAATTGTTAGGGAATAAATTATTATGTCGTCCATGTAGACTAGACATCTTACGTTTCTAAGTCGGTGGTAGCGGTTCCATAAATTTTTGCATTTTGTTATAATTCATTTTCTTTTTGCCCTATTTTATGAGAACAGATCAACCAATTTTAGTTTCCTAAACGGGGTTGAGTGAGGATTTTTAAAATCTTCAAAATGATGTGTTACACGATAGGGGTGCCATTTAAAATTATGAACTTGGGGGTAGCTAGGAGTAAGGGGGTTACCTAAAATACCATTGGCACTGGTTTTAAACTTTCCCCTCGTTCTTTTTGCCTACGGCAAATTCTCCCTGCTAAACGAAGTACTAGGGTGGGAAGTTTTGAAATGAAGGCACTGTATATCGATAGAGATAGTCCACTTCATTTAGGCAAATATTTGATGACGAAGATTTCTCGTTGATTTTTCACTGGAAGAAGAATCGGATATCTGTTGAGTTTTGAATGAGTGATTTGAGAAATCTTTG